GGGTAGATCATATAACCTCCCTCTTTATATTTTTGCCTATAAAATGGGAATATTAATTTGGTTCCGTAAAGATACTTAAAGTGAGGGAGAAAAGTGTATCTAGTTCTTAAAATGCCAAAACTTCAGGCTTCCCTGCTGGATGAAGGGACATAAGTACTATAAACAGGTTTAGACTTTCTATTCAAGCGTTAATACCTTGTCTATCACTGTGGTACGAGTACATATTGAACATTAATTCAAATGTAAGCTGTAGGGAGCAATCCTGAAGTAGGAGCCTTCCATCTGACTTCATATTTCTAACCACTGGCTTCACTCCACTTGCTTATTTACACCTCTGTCTAGGTGGATTGCCAGGAAATCTGCAGTTTGGATTTCTCTGGCACTTGGGGGGGGGGGGTATTTTGTCAAAGTATGAGATTTACGTTTACATTTTTAACAAGCCAGTTAGCTCTTAGCAAAACCTTTGCAGTTTGCCTTTTAAACAGATCTTCAAGTTATCTTTAAAGAAACTTGAGCTAAACTTGCCATTAATCTTTTTTTAAAAAGCTTTTAGTAAGTTTCCATGAGTGCTATAAATTCCAGTAAGAGCAAGCATCTCTATCTGTAGCATAGGCAACCTCAAATGTGTCAAGCTTTAGCAGTGTGCCAAAAAGTGAAATTGAATAGAAACACATCTTACTGCTTGAGCTGAGAAATATTGGAAGTAAATAGCATAAACAGTAAAGAAAAAAAGTTCTAGCTTTTTCTTTTAACAGTCTTTTGATTTTAGTCTTGGTCAGGCAGGGGAGGGGTTGGTAATACAGGAAATTTCTTTTAAATTGTCTAGAAACCGGTGATCTAATATTTGCTCACAGTTGCCGAGGATATGGCTGCCTTATTCTTTCCTCTGGTGTCCTTTAGTCCAGTATTGCACTGATCAGAATAGTTGCGTGTGCTAATAGACAGCTCTTGCAGCCCGTCGTCTGTGCATATAAATCTGGTGCATGTGTAGTCTTTATTAATAGAACTTAAAATCTTTGCTGGGAACCCTGAACAGTGGAAGCTCCCACTCTTCTTTAATATGCCCTGTAGCGCCTGGGGGAATTCACGTGCTTGCAGACCTTCCCGCAGCCTCAAGGCAACAAAGTGGAATCCTTATTTGTTACCTTGGTCAGTTCTGTGTATTCACCCTTATACTGCTAATGAAGCAAAGGGATCTCTTATTTGTAGATCTGTCTAGACTTGCAACTGTCTTAGGTCTGTATGATCCAGTGTCTCCTACTCTCGTAATCTAGTACCCAGTCTTCCAGCATGGAGTACAATCAGGGCATCTTGCGGGATTTCCCTACTGGGATGAAGTAGCCATGGTTAAGTTCTCCTGTGTACATAACTGTATGTTTGATCTCTTGTGTGGATGGTGACAGGTGTTGGATTGGCAGCCCTGGAGACTGAAGTCCTCTCTTCACCAGCAAAGCACGTCTGAGCCTGGCAGCAGCACTGCGAGCTTTTTTTCCTGCCGAAGCGCATTCACCTTGCGTGTGGAGGATACCACCTCTGGGGGGTGAGAGGGGAATTCAGTCTCCATGGCCTGTCCCGCCCTCTGCCTTTCCACTGGGGGCTGCAGGCACAGAGATTTTTCGGCATGGAAGCCTTGCAAGTGGACTGACACCCCGTACCCCCAAACTGATTCCCCCTCCAAGCTACTGAACAACCGTCAGCTGGTAACAACTTTCCATCGCTCCCAACTGTCTAGTTTTGTTCCACTAAACTCCTCTGCCCAGTAAGTGATGGTGGATCTCTGCAGTTAACTTGGAGAGAGACTTTATTGGGGAGGAGTTCACACCAGACCTTGGAAGAGCTGGCTGTGGTTGGATATTTTTCCCCTCCTGCTCAGAGAAAGGACTTTGCTGAAAAGGCAGCGACGAGGGGATCTCTTCCTTCCTTGTTGAATCCAGTCTCGATCAGCCTGCCACAGCCAACAAAGTTCTGGAACTCAGCCATGCTGCCCATCTGTGTGTGTGTGTAAATTCCCCCTCCTCGCGCCAACCCCTCTGCTTCCCCAAGCAAAGCTGCATTGGCAGCCTTACACACAGCCCCGTTTGTTTCAGTGCTGCGTCTCGGAGTCTATGCCTCATGCAGCACGTGTGTAACTTACCAACGGGGAGTACGTTGCCTTTGTGTCACTAACTACCATTGACACTAATCATTCCTCGCTGTACAAGACGGGGGCTATTTACGCTAGGCAGCTACACTATACCTTCACCCCACCCTCTGAATAAGGGTAACATACAAAGGCAGATCTGTTCTGTGTTGCTGAAGCAGACCCAGCCAGTGTGTCTCTAAGCAACGCCCCAGCCATGGTCCTGCTTGTCCACTTTGGTTGTAGTTTAACCTGTCTTGTGTTACAAGCTTCCCAGATAGGTTAATGTGACCTCATGCTACTGCCTACCCACTGCTCTGTACTGCAAGCGGTTTTCATTCCAAGGGCTGAGTGCAGTGTCTCCTAATGGGAACCCTGCTCGTGTTCCCTGGGTTGAGTGTTAATGGGAGGCTGGGCTGCTGCATCCCGTCACCTGTAAACTCTGCGCTTCCTGTCTGCACCAGATCTAAAGAAAGCCGGTACTAAGGGGAAGTAGTCTCCTTGCTCTTAAGCCACTGCTCAATTAGTCATTTGTTGCTTATGCATGCTCCACTTTTAAGAGGGACAGCAATAGTGTATTCACTTTTCCCCCTCCACCCCCCCCCCCTTGCCCAGGTTGACTGACACCAAATAGCCTGACTAAGCCAATGATTCCTGGTCTCTGCAGTCCTCCAATCCCATTTACTCTTCTGTAGTGTAGGAGCCTGTGACAGAAATACCACAGTGCCTGAGACTGGGCTCTGATCCTCCCTCTGGGTGTGGGAGGACAGTCTGCCTTGCTTGCAAATCACTTTAAAGGGCCGTGGCCAAGACAATTTCTCCAGTTAGTCTCCTCAAACTGACACTTCTACCTTACTCCCAGGGTGTGGCTGTTCTTTCCCTAGGGTCTGAGACAATTTAACTAGCCTGGGCAATTTCACTTTCCCAGTCTTTCATTTCTCAGTTCTAGGCCGGGCATGCGCCACATGGGAGAGTTGTGTGTGTATATCCAGTGGTGAAGGTCTCTCTTTCCAATGAAATTAACAAAATTTATGAAAACACTTAAATGGGACAATTTTTTAAATCAAATTTTGGGTGAGAAAGCCTTGCCAATGGCCCTTTAACTCCTCTCAGAGTCGTATCTGAATCTCCCACTAATGGAACTGAATTTTTTGCCAGCACCAACTCACGCATTTAAGACACACTGTTTACTGTTAGGGTATCTACAATAACCCCTTTACATGCTAGGGATTCATACCATTGTTGGTCTTGTTGGGTCTGAAGGACCTAACAGAAACGGTAGTGTGATAATGTGTAACATTCATGCTCAATGTCCTGGCAAACAGGATAATTTATCCATGCATGACTGACTTTGCATCATCCTGATTTTGGGGGAGAGTTATAACTTCATATCTGCCATTTGCCAGTTCCCTTTGAAGAACATTGTTTTCCCAGCATCCACCCTGAAAGATCTGGTGTTCCATACAGAGAAGGGAGCTCTGTCTCAACCTAACCCCCTCCCCTTAATAGATACACGTTTTTATTCTAGTAAAGCTAAAACCAGTTGAACAATAAAGCCAGACAGATTAGTTTCAACAGAGCATGCTAGGTGAAATCTAATCGGCTTGTTTCAGGGTGCCTTCCATTTCGGGATGCTATGAAGAATTGCATGAAGGAACAAATTGGCAGAGTGTTTCCCATTGCTTTGCTTTTGTGTCCTCTGCATTTTTTTGTGGATCTGTTGAATTTTTGCTGTTTAAACATGTACCTGTAACTTGGTGCATTACATTTCCTAAAAACCAAATAAACTTTGTAATTTACAATCTGTAACTTGTGGATGTTGGAAATATTATGGAGGGAAAATTAATAAAAACAAACAAACAAACCCCAACCTGTTAATCTTTTTTAATAGCATAGGCCAAAATACTTCCTGTTTATTTTTATGTCTGGGTTTTTCTTCTTCCAATCCAGTCCCCTCTATTTTAAAAAGAAAATTTATTTAGTAACAGTTTAGAAGATTTACTTCTGCAATGATTCTTTCTAACAAATGAGATTCCGACACAACCCACTGCTCTGTCAAGTAGAACCTCTTTTTTTTTTTTATGTAGGTAATCAAATTTAGACTGATTGAAACTTACAGCTGCTGATGTATTTTTAGGCCCCATTCTCATAAACAACATTGCATCTCAAGTCAATATTAGCTTTGGTTATCTCTCTAAACCACTGAATATTACAAGGTTTAGATCCACACCTCTCTTCTGATCATGGTCTATTTGGGTATAAATTCTTTAGTGTGCAATAACTCCTCAACTAAAAATTAGTCTCAGAAAAACATCAGCATTTTCCACTGGGGTTAGTCTAAAAAAGACAATATCAACTTGAAAACACTATTGTGTGTTTGTTTACAGTTCAATAAATGGCATCTTGCCATAAACTTGTTAGCCTCAAGGTGATTGATTGAGTGGGAACATGACTAGAAATCCCTTAGTCCTCCCTGCTCTGGGTTTTCCCCAATTGCCTATCCCTTTGTCCTGTTTATTTCCTAACGGCTTGGGGGATACTTGAAGACAGGTTGGCAAAGTAGTAAACCCTGAGTTCAGATCCATCCTGGTTAAGGCCCAAGAGATAGATATGTATATGTGTGTGTGTGTGTGCACATGTAACTACGAGCGTGCGGTTAGGGAAAAGAATTCTAGTTTTCAAATGCTGGGAACTGATGTTTGCCAAGTGTGTTATGCTCTGGGTTCTCTTGACTGGTGGCAATGATAGGATAATACTTTGTACTTACAGTATCTGTACCCTTCCTGATCAGGTTTGGATTCCACTTACCAGTGCGATGATATCTGTGCGCTCTTTGCTGAGAGTAACCTTTTTTTTTTTCTTCTTCCTTTTTTTGCCTCAGAACTGTCCATCATGGGCTCTGGACCAATTGATCCTCATGAGCTCCTAAAAGGATTAGATTGCTTCTTGGGGAGAGATGGAGAAGTCAAAAATACAGAAGGAGTCACCAAGATTTTCAAGTAAGTCCCCAGTTTAAACGTGTGGTTTGAAGAATTCTTAGCATGGCAGGACATAATGTAGCAAAATCTCAATTTCCCAGAGCAGAAGTAAGCAGCTGGTGTGGTGTGAAAATGACCCATCAGAGCAGAGCTGTTCGATTGTTTTAAGTCTTTTTCCTTCGTAGTCTTATTTATTTATTAGATGCTAATCTGCTTGTATGGTGATCGGCATTAAAGTTGTTGGGCTTTTTAAGACAGTGTAGGGGTTTTAGTCACGCAGAGGCCAGATTCTCAGCTGGTGTGCATCAAAATAGCTCCATTGGAGTCAATGGAGCTGCCCTGGTTTAAACCACCTGGGGGATCTGGCCCCATTGACTTCAGTGGAACCACAGCTGACTTGCACCAGTTGGGGAGTTGGCCTTGGGTTCCATCATCTTCAATGGAAGATGTGATCCAAATCTCCTAGGCTGCTTTGGAAACATCAGCCTTGCCTTTCTTGTAACTGCGTCCTCTTGTTTCAGAAATGCATCCCGTTCTCTTCTTAAATGTTATCTGATCCTGGATCTCAGTGGAAGTCCCTTCTGTAGGTTGCTTGAAGGCACTTCAGTGTATTCCAAGCACGCCTAGCATTTGTTCCCAAAGCTCTCCCACAACCTTCTTGTTCTTCAGGGTGTGGATGAGGCATTGAGTAGCTGTAACTGCCCTATGAAATATTTAACTCCCCAACCCCCTCAGAAACCCTTCTCCAATTAAAAGGATGCGTGTGACGTTTGCAGAACATTTAAATCTTGGGCTAGATCCTCAACCGGAGTAAATTAGTGAGGCTCCCGAATTTAATGGGAATCCCATCCACTTTGAGCCAGCCATTGCTCCGACTGGGGCTGGATTGGAGCCAGTGCCTGCTGGAGCAGAAAAACCTCCTTCCCATCCCCCCCTCAGCCAGGCTGTCCCCCACCAACCTGGGGCCAGATTGGAGCCAGTGCACCACAGAGGGGAAAGAAGCCATATGCTGTTCCCAGATGAGTCCTGTTACTCCTTCTTCTTGGCCCCAGAGCCTACGGAGTCTGATTTTGTGGCAGTTGGTTGCCATGTGCTCTGATCTCTCTGTACTGCATCAGCTCAGCTTCTTCCTTGCCTCTCTCCCTTCCTGCTTGCAGCTTCATGAAAGACGCCCAGAAAATGGTCAGTCGCTGCATCTACCTGAACATCCTGTTGCAGACCCGGGCGCAAGACATCCTGGCGAAGTAAGAGTCGTGGAGGGTTCCTTACAGAGAGTGGGGACTGGGGGTCAAATTATCCCTAGCTCTGGGAGGGGAGTGGGGTCTAGTGAGTTAGAGAAGGGGGAGCTGGGAGTCAGGACTCCTGGGTTCCCTCCCCAGCTCTGCCGCTAACTGTGACCGTGGCTGGGTGTCTTTTCCTCTGAGGTGCAAAGTGGTTCTCAGGGAGGTTATGGGGTTTTAGTGACCCATCTCTGGCAGGTGCTTGGAGATCAATCCTGGGCTGTAAGGAGTAGGCAGAGACAGTTCAAAGTTTGGCTGTAGCCCATGGCGTGGGAAGGGTATGACACCAGCACTGACCTGGATCTACTCTCTTCCCAGGTTCATCCGGGTTGGGGGTTACAAACTTCTCAACACTTGGCTCACCAGCTCCAAGGCATCCAGCAATGTGCCCCTGCTGCAGCAGATCCTGCTCACGCTACAGCACCTGCCCCTCACTGTGGATCACCTGAAGCAAGTGAGTAAAGCTGCTGGCGCTCTCCCTTCACAGTCAGTGCTGACCACGGTGGCCCAGTGCGGTGCTCGGGGGCACTGTGCTGCAGGGAACAAGGTGGGGACGCTGTCCCTTGCGGTCAATGCGGACCATAACCCTTTGTCCCTCTCTGATCTTTTCCAGAACAACACGGCGAAGCTGGTGAAGCAGCTTAGCAAGTCGAGCGAGGACGAAGGTAAGAGACCGTCCTATTGTGTGTGTGCGCGCCATGCCTCCTCCCGTCTGCAGGAGCTTGGTGCGAGCTGCCCTGCTCTAATCTCCGTCCTCTCTCCCCTTGCAGAGCTCCGCAGACTGGCCTCCATCCTCGTCAGCGACTGGATGGGCGTCATCCGCTCCCAGAGCAGCGCGCAGCCTGCAGGTGAGTCACATCCTTGAAACACGCATAGGAGACCTTGTTTGAAATGATGGGGCCCCAGCCGTCTTAGCTCGGGCCCCTCAGCCCACTAGTGGGTGCCCTCCCCGCACCATCCTGGGTCTGTCTTCTCTAGCGTGGGATTCCTGCCACTCTACTGCTCTGTGGCTCCTCCCATAATACGCTTCTCGTGTCCATCCTAACCGACGTGGGCAGACTGTGGGCTTTTCCCTGGAGCCTGAGGGTGGAGAAGCTCTTGCAGTGGCCTCTGCCTTTGGGACTTGAACCCTCCCCTTCCCTGCAGAGCGAGACAAGAAAAAGCGGAAGGAGGAGAGTAAGAGCAAAGCACCTGTCCAGGAGAAGCCTCAGGAGGCCAAGGCAGAAGCCAAGGCTGAGGAGACACCGGAGAAGAAGAGAGAGAAGCCAAAATCGCTACGCACCACAGCACCCAGCCATGCCAAGTTCCGCTCCACTGGTGGGTACTGGGAGGGGCATCTCTCAACTCTTGGGGGGAGTAGGCCTGATCGAGGGCAGCAAGCTAAGAGGCCTCAAGTGGGATTCTGTATGGCTGTTCCCCAGTTGCCCCACCTAGAGGTGGCTCTGAGCAGTGTAACTGTGCAGCTGGTCCCCACTTGCCCCACCCCAGAGGTGGCTGCATTTCTCTGCTGGGTGACCTATCCCAGCTTAAAAAGCCTTTGGGATCCTTGCAGATGAGGTACTATGAAAATGTGGGCTTATCCCGTTGCTGTACTCTGCTAACCTGAGTTCTGCTTTGCTGTAGGGTTGGAATTGGAGACTCCCTCACTGGTTCCTCTAAAGAAGAACCCCAACGCTGTAGTGGTGTCTGAAAAATACAACCTGAAGCCGATGCCAATAAAGAGACAGAGGTAGGTCTGAGCGTCCCGCCCTGCTCTAGGGAAAGCATCCAGACTTTATGCCTGTGGCTTCCTCTGTCTGCCTCACCTTTCCACTCTGTTCCTCAGTCCTGAGAAGCACTCTGTGTAGAATTGGGAGGCAGGACTCCTGGGTTCCCTCCCTGTCTCTTGGGAGGGGAGTGGGGTCTAGTGGTTAGAGCAGGGGTCTGGGAGGCAAGACTGAGTGCTGAGGGGATTTGCCCGAGACCCTGTGTGTGGTACAGGCCCAGCATTGGTATCCTTCCCCAAGCCGCCCCTTCAGCCCCCTGCAAAGCAGCTCTAGGGTTGTGCTGTGCTTCCTATGCTCTTCTTCACACCAGATCGCCACATGATCTGGGCTTGCCCGCTCCTTGCTCAGGGCAGCATCTGACCCCTTTCCTGGGTCGTGGCCTCAGTACCATGTCTGCTTTTCCCTCTCACAGCACGTCCGCCCCCTCTGGAGACAACCCACCAGTAGAGAAGAAATACAAGCCTCTGAACACCACCCCCAACAGCACCAAGGAAATCAAAGTCAAGATCATCCCCGCGCAACGTGAGTACACTGAGTCCCCGGTAGTCAGGATGCCTGCGTTCGGTCATCATCATCGGGAGGGGAGTGGGGTCTAGCTGGAGTAGCGGGGTTGCAGAGGTGGGGCTGAGAGTCCGGACTCCTGGGTTCTATCCCTTGGCTCGGGGAGGGGAGGGGAGTGTAGCATAGGGGAGGGGCAGGATAACACGTGAAGTTGCTGGTGCTTGGAGCGTTCAGTTTCCGTAACCTGTTTCATTCCCCCTTCTTCCCCCCCCCCCCCCCGCCCCTTGCAGCAATGGAGGGCTTGGGCTTCCTGGATGCCCTTAACTCTGCCCCCATCCCAGGGATCAAGATCAAAAAGAAAAAGAAAGTCTTGTCTCCTACTGCAGCCAAGGTACAAACACTTCTGGGTGGGGAATGGGGGATGGTTGGTTAGAATGGGGGCTGCTGAGAGGCAGGACCCCTGGGTTCCATCCCCAGCTTGGGGTGGGGCGGGAGGTCTGGTGGGTTAGAGCAGGGGGCTGGGAGGCAGCACCCCTGGGTTCTGACGTCAGCAGTGAGAAGGGCGTGGGGTCTGGTGCAGGAGCTGGGAGTCACTGGTTCACTTCCCATTACGCTGATCCCACATTTCTCTCTGTGTCCCAGTCGAGCCCGTTTGAAGGGAAGCCAGCCCCAGAAGCGAGCACTGCTAAACCATCCTCGCCAGAACCCGCTACTGCATCCGAGCCGATGGAGGTGGATCGGCCCGGCACTCCTGTGCCGGCAGTAGAGGTCCCAGAGCTGATGGAGACAGGTAAGGATGGGGAAAGCGTTGGAGCCAACAGGTTCTGTTGTGCTAACCCTGGGTGGGTGGTAGGTGTCAACCCAACATCCTGGCTGTGTTGGATCAGACCTGATGTTTCCACCCAGGAGGCTGTAAAACCCCATAATGCATGTGGCCAGGTGTGCCATGCCAGCTGGGGTACAGCTGCCTTGGCAGAGGGGGCAGCCCCTGTGTCAGCTCAACTGTGGGGCTGGCAGGGCTGTCTTCACTGGGGGTCCTGGGTTGGGCTCAGGAGGCATTGGCGCCAGCTGGTAGATCCAGGCTCCGTGGGTGTGTTTGTCTGATTGCTCTGTGTCCTGTCCCTGCAGCCTCGTCCGAGCAGAACTCTGACGCCAAGCCACCCGAGAGTGCCGCTGACTCCACTCAACTTACCAAGAAGGGCAAGAAGAAGAAGACAGTGAGCTGGCCTGAAGAGAGCAAGCTGCGGGAGTACTTCTACTTCGAGCTGGATGAGACTGAGCGAGGTGAATACTGGGGAGGGGGCCTTTCCCTCTAGGGGGCACCAGCTCCAATCCGGCACTTGGGGTATGGGACATGGGGCCTTTCCCTCTAGGGGGCACCAGCTCCAATCCGGCGCTTGGGGTATGGGACATGGGGCCTTTCCCTCTAGGGGCTGCCAGCTTTGCTCCGGCACCAGGAGACTACCTGGCTTCTGCGGGTGGGAGAAGGGATACGAGGCCTTTGAACTCCTATTATGGAGTGGGGTGTCTCACCCTTCCTATCGGCTGTACGGCAGTGGCCTGTCTGTCCCCTGACTAAACCTCTCCCCATTTCTTCTCCTCCCCCTGGCAGTCAACGTGAACAAGATCAAGGACTTTGGCGAGGCAGCCAAGCGGGAGATGCTGAAGGATCGGGAGGCCTTTGAGACGGCACGCCGGCTCAGCCACGACGCCATGGAAGAGAAGGTGCCCTGGGTTTACCCCAAGCTCATCGACCTGCCTAACCCTCTGGTGCAGCCAGGCAATGGCAGCCGCGAGAAGTTCACCCAGGCCGAGAGGGAAAAGGGCATCCTGCAGGAGATCTTCCTGTCCAAGGAGAGGTGGGTGTGGTCCTGGGGGGCAGTGCAAGGGATTGGAAGGATACTGGGGTCGAGGCCGGGGCACCATTTTCCATTTGCGCAGTGTAGGTTCTTTGTCCCCCTCTAATGGCTGCACCATGCAACAGCCAGTGTATCAAATTTAGGGCCACCCACCTGAATTCAGCATGGCTCTGTTCCTCTCTAGTGGCATATGAACCAGCTGCTGCCTCTGAGCTTGTCGACTTGGTTGTTTGACTCAGGGAGCACAGACCCTGCTTTCAGCTCCAGAGGTCCCGCAGATGACCTCACCTGGGGCCTCTCTTGGTTGCTGGGCATCAGGATCCCCCTCTGACCCTGCTATCTTTGCTTCCCATGGCTGGTGGATGCTGGGTGGGTGTAGACCTGGCCTGTGAGGCCATGCTGGAGCTAAGGGGCAGGGGGGAGGGGCATCAGGCTGTGCTGACAGTCCCATCAGTGGTGGGCTACGACCACATGTCTCGGTGCTGAGATCTGATGGGCATCTCTCCTCTCCACAGCGTTCCAGACAGTCCCCACGAACCCGACCCGGAGTCCTACGAACCCCTGCCGCCCAAACTCATCCCGCTCGACGAGGTATGTCTGGCCCAGGGCCCTGGGTTCTCTATCCTGCTTTGGAGGACAGAAGGAGGGGACCTGTTGGGTTAGAGCAGGGGGATTGGTAGTCAGGACTCCTGGGTTCGCTCCTCACTGTGGAAGGGGTCTAGGGGTTAGAGCAGGGGGTTCATTTCCCAGTTCACTGGGGGCCCTCCCCCGCTCTGTGTCTGTCTCCCCTGTATAAACAGGGACGGGCTAGAGAAGGGCAAAGGCCCAGGAACCCAAGCGCCCAGCCATGACCCCCAGCCCCTAAGGCTGGGGCGTCCTCCTTGCCCTCAGCCCGTCCTGACTCCAGTGTCTCCTCTGTCCCCTCTCTCAGGAATGCACCATGGACGAGGCCGCCTACCAGGAAGGACTCGACCCAGCCGCCGCCTCGCAGTCTCCCGATGGAGCCGGGGCCTCCAAGCTGCCCCCAGTGCTGGCCAACCTGATGGGGAGCATGGGGGCCGGCAAGAGCCCTCAGGGCCCCAACCCCAGCTCCTCCATGAACGTGCAGGAGATCCTCACCTCTATCATGGTAATTGGAGCTGCTGTGTAGTTTGACTGGCCCTACAGGCTTCCCGTAGTGGGAGGGTCCAGCACCAAAAGGGTAAACAATGAGCCGTTCTATGGGTGGGGTCTCACTGGCCCATCTACCCCCAGAGCGGACCATTGCTTCCCCCCCACCGCCCCACCACTGCTGGAGTGGACCATTGGCCTGGTCTCCCTGCCTCCAGCATTTTGGGGGGGAGGGGAAACTCAGAAAATGCACCAGCTGAGCAATAGTTGGGGTGGGGGGATGCGTGGGGGGGTGGGACTCTTTTCTGTCACCGCCTTCTCCCAAAGCAGTTGGCTCAAGCCAGCCCCTGGCCCCAGCTAGAGGGTTAATGGACTAGCACAGCGCCCTAGAGTTAGAGGTCAGAGAGAGCTGAGGGGGTGTAGTGTGTGTGGGGGGGGAGGAGACACTGTCTAACCCTGCTCCTCCTCTCTCCCTTCCCTGCACAGGGCGGGCCCAACAACCACAAGACAGAGGAGCTAATGAAGCAGCCGGATTACTCGGACAAGATCAAACACTTGCTTGGCAACCTCCAGACACAGCCCCCGGGGCCCTCAGGAGGTAAGAGACCTGTGGGGGGGCACTGACCTTGTTCCCACCTCCCTCTTCTTCTAGGAGAAAATTCTGTTCTGCCGGTCGCCTTCTGGCTTCTGTTTCTCTGCCTTCTGTCTGTCTCGACGGGGCACCTGGGCCTTATAAACCATCCACTCCTACAGTTCTAGGGGCTCTGGCAGGCAGGTAATCGGAAGGACCTGATCTTGGTTGATTCAGATGGCTGGTGCCGGGGTAGAGCTGGTGCACCCAGCATCCCGATGACATCATAGGGGTGCGAGTGCGTGTCTGTGTGATTTCCCTTGCTCTGGGGGTTCCAGGAGAGGTGGCCTTGTAAACATGTCCTGGGTTAGGATCGGAGGTTGCCTGTGAAGGGATGGGAAGTGAATCCCCCCCCCCTTTCCACTTCCCATTGGCTGTATTTGACCCCTCTGCTCTCTTGTCTTCCAGTGCCCCACGGGCTGCTGGGCCCAGGGCCCCTCGCCAATGGATTCCCACCTGGACCAAAGAACATGCAGCATTTCCCTCCCGGGGGGCCAGGACCCATGCCTGGTAAGGAGGGAGCTACCATCTTCTGGGGGTGGGAGGACACGAGTGTCAGACCTTCAACTGGAGTGTGCTTGAGTCAGTAGGGAGTGCTGACCCCAGTGCGGTGCTAAGGGGCGCTGTGCTGTAAGGAGTGGGGTAGAGGCTCAGTAGGGGACACTGCCCTGGCGTCAGTGCTGGTGCCAATGCCCCAGTGTGGTACTAGGGACCACTGTGCTGCAGAATGGGGGGCTCAGTAAGGGGTCCTGTGTGGCATGGAGCAGGGTGGGGGTTCAGCAGGAACTGTCTTTCTGCCCTGGGTGCTCAGACGGGGGGGTCTCTAACCTTTGTGCCTCTCTCTCCCCTAGGTCCCCACGGTGGCCCTGGGGGTCCCAACATGCCCCCAGGTCCTGGCATGCCTGGCGGGCCCAGGATGATGGGCCCTCCACCTCCCCAGCGAGGCGAGTTCTGGGATCCCCCTGATGGCGGCATGCGGGGAAACCCCCACGGGGGTATGCGAGGGGGTGGCCCCGGCCCGGGGCCTGGACCAGGCCCTTTCCACCGGGGACGAGGCGGGGAGCCCCCCTTCCGGGGACGAGGAGGCGGCGGGCGCAGCGGCGGCCCCCCCAATGGCAGAGGCGGGCCCCCTAACAACGGCATGGGTGGAGGAGGCGGCCACGGCGGCGGCGGCCATGGTGGAGGCCACGGAGGCCATGGTGGAGGCCACGGCAGGGGCCACGGCGGCCATGGTGGGGGCCACGGAGGCGGCGGCCATGGTGGGGGCCACGGAGGCGGCGGCCATGGAGGTGGCCACGGAGGAGATCACGGCAGAGGCCACCCAGGGGATCACGGCCGGGGTCATGGTGGAGGCCACGGAGGAGGTAATTGCAGGGGGCTTGGCTTGCCCTCTAGGGGGAGCAGAGGGCCTTGGCTTTGGAATGGCCCTGCCCCTTTGTGGGAGGGGCCTGTGAGTGCCCCCTCCCCTCCCCCGTTTTTATCCAGCCGGTGGCGAGGGCCGATGGGGGAGACCCAGCATGCATTGCACCCATTCGATCCTGTGGGCCCCGCTCCTTGGGGGCGGGGCCCAGAGTGGCAGAGACCCCCTATGGGCCTGTGAGAACAAGGAAGACAGTTTCAGCTGCAGCATTGCATGCTGGGAGCTGTAGTCTGCTCCTGGCAGCCTGGGTTAGGGTGGAGTGTTGCATGCTGGGAGCTGTAGTCTCTCCCCCATCCTCTGCCCTGCTCTGCCACCCCTCTGGCCGTGCCCCACTGCCGTGGCTGACCTGCGCCCCGTTTTCTCTCACGCAGACATGTCGAGCCGCCCCGTGTGTCGCCACTTCATGTTGAAAGGCAGCTGCAGGTACGAGAACAACTGTGCCTTCTACCATCCCGGAGTGAATGGGCCGCCCCTGCCGTAGCGCCTGGGGCCCTCCCTCCACCCCGCCGACACCCCGTGAAACCGCCCAACACAGCTGCCCCCCCCTTCACGGACTCTGGGGTGCCCGCTGTCGGACTTGGGCTCTGAATCCACCATTTATGGCTTCTGTGAGGCCTTGTAACGCCCAGGGGGGAGGAGCAACCCCCCCCACGGCTGCTGCTACTGAGGAACCACTGCGGCGGGGGGAATTTCCCCCCCGCCACTCCGCTCCCTCCTGTGTTGTTTTAATCTGATGGAGGCGCTGATGGGACCTGACTCTGCGCCCCCCAGTGACTTTTTGCAAGCACAAGAGCTGCTGTCTGCTCTGGGACCTGGGGGCGAGGGGGGGCAAAGTGGGTTGTTACCACTGTGTGTATCTCTGTGGAACCAGCAAAGGTGTAAAGAGGGCGTTGCCCAGCTGCCCCACCCGGCTCCGGGCTGTGATCTGTCCGCGGGTTCGCCAGCTGCAGACCTACTCTGAAGACATTTTGCCTGGGGAGCCTTGGCCCTGAGGTGCAGCCGGCCACCCCATCCGGCTCCCCCAGAAATACTGCCTTCCCGGGGCACGTGGCCAGGAGACTTCTCCCTCCATCTGGCAGCAGCAGGATACCAGTCCTTCTGTTGGGGAGGAGAGGGATCCCTTAACCACTGCCCCCCATCCACTGAGCAAAGGGGGTGCTTGTTAACTTCACCCCCTCCATGGGGTCATCCCCCCCATGTGTGTGAACAAGTGAGATCAGAGCTTCTCCCCTTGCTGTAAATACCCTTCCCCATCCCACTGACGACTGCAGACACGTGACTCCCCTTGGTGCTAGCGAGTCGTTGGAAGTGGGGGGGACATGAAGCTGTTTTCTGTGAAAACGGATGGACTTTATTGCTGTTGGCATCTGGGGGCTTGGTTTGTTTCCTTTCCATTGTTTTATTTTTTTACGGTCTCTCCCTGAGACATGGACTGTCCTCCCCCCACCCCACCCCACTGGTGCAGCCTCCCCCTTTTGTTTTGTATATTTTGTACATTAGTAATAAACATGGTGATTAAAAAAATGGATCATCTAATTTAACCTTGGTGTCTGTGCTGGCTGTGTGGGGAAGGGGCCATCTCTGTGCATCTGTACAGCGCCTGGCACAGCAGGTTCAAGGTCTGCAGCTGGAGCCATGAACACTGCCACACTATTGAGAGAGGTGCCCTGCTGCAGCTTCTGTCTCTGCTCACTTCGTTTCGCCACTGAAATAGGAATGAGCCAGATGCACAGGGGAGACATTTCCTCGTTCTTACAGTCCTGCTGATGGCTGAGATGCAGCAGGGTCCTGGGAGTTGGACTCTGATTCCCACTAGCGAGAATCCCTCAATCCACCCTGACTTGGTACAGCGCTTGGAACCCTGGGATACCTACCCAGGATGCAATGCACGCAGAACTGGTACAGTTGTCCAACATGTCCCTTTACAAGCCCTTGTGTTCAGTTGCTTATAACATTGCCACACATCATCCATTTGGGCTGAAGTTTTCCACGCTGCGTGTCCTCCTTAGGTTGAATATTTGGGAGAAAGTTCAGCCAAAATGGTTCAGCCGTTTCCAAGAATGAGGCTAAGGGCAAGCGCCTTACTTTGCTCAAGCTAAAACGGTCTGGTGACCCTTTCTTTGAGAAGCTCTAGTCTCCCTGTGTTACAGAGCAGGGACTCAAAACTGGGCAAGGGCGTAGCCTGTGTCAAGGCTGATATGCTTTTACCCATCCGCGGGAACATTTTGCCTAAATTTGGCCACATCATAAGCCTTTGAAAAATTGTGGCCTGCACATGCTTTAGATTTTAGCTGCTAAGTTCTCCAAAGATCCTGTGTGTGGGCTCCGGCCTAGGGCTGATCAAGTGTTCCTCTGCGACTGCCTGGGAGCAGAGAGCTGGCAGCCGGCAGCCTCCCTCCTGCGCTCTCAGTGCCCCTCTGCTGGGCCCAGGCAGTGTGGAGGAGGAACCCACCCGATTCCCATACAGAGGGGACAAGAGGCAGACCTGTGGATAGAGATGGACTTTGCAGGGGGAAGAGACTGGGACTGAGAACCAGTCTGAAGGAGGGCAGCTGGGTCTAATGGGTGCTTATGTGTGGGGGAGGGAGAAAGGGATATGGGTGGAGGGCATGCTGAATGGAGACTAGAGTGAGGGGAGGAGACGGACAATAGAAGGAGAAAGGGCAGAAGGTGACATGCTGAGGGGTTGCTGGGGGTGAGACTATGCAGAGGAGTCTGTGCCCACTAGGACACACTCCCCTCCAGGCCTGGAATGGAACCAAGATCCTGAGTCTCACTATACCATCCGCAACTAGCTCAGAAACCCACCTGCAAAGCGTCTCCTGGCCCTCTGGTGCTAGGTTGTCTGCAGTCATTGCTTGGGGGGGGGGGGGGGAAGAGGGGTGAGCACCTCCTGCTCTAAGAAATTGCGGGGGGGGGGGGAAGGGGCAGTCAGAGTCTGAGGTTTAATCCCTTCCCTTGTGGGCAGCAGGATTCTGTGTTGCTGCTTCCCCCCCCCCCCAGCAGCCTAGAGGCCAGGGTAGCGGGGCTGGCTGGCATCACACCATGCTGGTGGAATAATGCACCTGATTGTCGAAGCTTCCACAGGTGCCTTGAGCCACAACAACTTGTACAATGGCCAACAGACTCCTGCTATGATGTCCCCTGCTCCAATCACCTCAGTGATGTGTTAACTCTGAAACCTACTGATTTTGTTGAGCATTCACAGGTGGTCCAAGTTGAGCCAATCTACTATACTGGCCAGATGTTAACTCTGAAACCTACTGTTGACAGTGCAACTGGTAAATGGGACTTAATGGGCTGCAGGGGCCTGTAATAAACAGGTCTGAGATGAACAGCTCAGCCCCCTCAGCTTGTTCATGTCAGGGGGTGTTGAGTCTGAAACCTACCTGATGACTTGGCTATCATTAACTACCTTGCACCAAATCACGTTCACTGACACAGCCTGGATGGGGTCAGGGGAAAACAGACCCAAATACAAGGTCACTTCCAGCCTTGACCCACCCTTGCCCTATCTAGCACCTAGAGGCCCTGCTGCAGTCACCTTCAGCTCTGTTTTTCCCCACCCCCTGCTGCCTTTGCTGATCCATGGAACATTTATCAGCTAATGCTGAGACCACCCCATGCAGCAGCATCTCAATGGGGTGTATTAACATCAAGTGCCCACCACCACAGCCCCAAAGGGCCACTGCCCAGCCTGTGCCAAAGGAGAGAGGCTGAAGGAACGGACACGTTCCCAACAGATGCAGGACAACAGCCAGATGCAACAAGGGTGGGCTGAATAGGCCTGGCTGAACTGAACACAGGCTGCGGCTCCGAGGGCACCAGGCTAATGTGCTGGCAGGGGGAAGCAGATGTGGGACAAAGGTGGTGTCTACACTTGCCCCAGCCTGGGCTCAGCTCCCAGTGGTTCTCAACCACTGGTACACAGAGGTCTTCCATGGGGTACATCAAGCCATCTAGATATGTGCTTAGTTTTACAGCAGGCTACATAAAAAAAGCACTAGCCAAGTCAGTGAACACTAAAATTTCATACGCGTTGTTTATACTGCTCTATACACCAAAATGTAAGAACAATATTTATATTCCAATCAATTTATTTTATAATTTTAGGGTAAAAATGAGAAGCAATTTTTCAGTACTGGTGGCTGACACACATCTGATTTTGTGAGGAAGTCATTTTTAAGAGAGATGAATCTTAGGGGTACACAAGACAAATCAGCCTCCTGCAAGGGGTACAGGAGCCTGGAAAGGTAGAGAACCCCTGATTTAGGGAGCAGGACACAGGGGGCTAGGCTCTGCTCTAACCAGTTGTGAGAACCAGGCCTATGACTTTACCCTAATTGAGCGCCCTGTGAGCAGCAAGTTCATTAGAAGACACTGTAGCAACCCTGTGGACTGGAAAAGGTCTGAAAGGGCAAGAGCCCCCCCGAATTAGCCCAAACACACAGACCTGGAATTCAAGCAGGAGACCTGTGCTAAGCTCAGACCTGGTTAAGAACAAGAGCATCAAGCCAGAGCTCTGTGACCCAATACCAGTGTGTCAGAAACTAGGCCCAAGGGGCATATGAAATGAGGGGGGTGGGCTAGCCTGCCCCCCCATTCCTTTTGGGGGTTCTTAAAGAGACTCAAGGGAGAAAAACTGGCTACTGGAATGAAATTAGCTACTGTCTGGCAGCCTTCCCCACCAGCTTCTGGGACCCCAGGCCCACCTTCACCTTATCAGGGTGGGTTGAAGAGGGACTCAGATACCCCCCCACTTGCTGCAGCGAAATCCCAACCCCCACTTGGGACATGACTTTATCCTCCCCCCACCCCTTCCTCATCACCACTGCTGGGAGCCTATGACCAGAGCATGGGCCTGAACCGCCCACTCCTGGCACAACTTTGCTGGGTCATGGAGCAGCTGATCAGCCCCCCTGGGCTGGGTCCATGCTTCTCCGGTACCCAAGGCTGCAAGCGAGAGAGAGAAGTTGCCTTGCCCCTCGGTGGGGTGCTTTCCTCTCCCCTCTGGTGAGCGTTCAGCTCGGCCTGTCTCCCAGCAAACGGGATGGGAGCTCAGCTAAACTCCTCCAGCCTTGCTCCCATCTCGGGGCCCGTCGGAGAAGCCGCTCTCTCCCGCTCAAGGGAAAGGGAGGCCGTTCACATGACAGCCTGAGTGGAAGTGTAAAGAGTCAAGGTTTTGCCTTGTTTTCCTCCTCCGCTGTGTGTTGAGTCAAAAGACTGGTTAACGGTGTGAGTGCCAAACCCTGCACGCCATTCGACACAGTTTAGCCTTTCCCGCTCCATGGCAGATGGGCCCATCCCACGGTCAACCATTGGCCCCATATATGTCATAAGTTGTGGGGGCTCAGCCTCCAGCAGGGCAGGCACTCTGCTCCCCAACGCCCCACCCACCCCACCAGCCACGTGGGCAGAAGTGGCCCCAGCCCCCCTCTGTCCCCTTGAAGGCATGAGTGGGCTGGACAGACACTCTCCACCCCCAACCTCTCTGGCCACGATGAATCCCCACCCCCCCGCACAATCAAAGCCACCAACAGCCACTTTCTGACTTCCTGTTTTAATTGAATCCTGTCAAACGGAAGCGGAACAAGGCTCGAAGCATCCTCGGAGCAGCTGGGGGGGTGAGAAGAGTCCAGCAATGGCACAGTCCCCTCCCCACCTGGCCCAGAATAGACCATTCCAATACAAACTCCCCCCCACCCCCACCCTTCATATAAATAACCAGTGGCCCTTCCCAGAAAGGAAGGGGGGTTGCAAAAAAACACTCCCACCTTCACAGGTTTAGCCCCACTTCCATCTCTTTAGCCCCACCCCCAAAGCCGAGCCCCACCCCATCATTGTAGCCACGCCTCCTCTGCTATCCAGCTGCATAAAAGTCCTGCTGCAAAGGGGCAGGCGGGTGAATGGAGAGTCCATCATGGGGGAGGGGGGAGGAGCTTCAGGAGGCCCCACCCCCACCTCACTCGCGGGGCCGGTTGATGATGACCTCGCCCAGGGCCTCCAGCACCTCGCGCTTGTAGTCGTCGAAGTCGCCGTCAATCTGCTCAACGCTCTGCTCCTCCACCACCCACAACTGGCAATTGGTCTCTGTGATCAGGCGGGCGTCGTGGCTCACAATGATGACGGCTGCAAGGCAGGGCAGGGGGAAGGTTAGAGGGGCAGGGGGATCCCCCATTCCAAGGGGTGGGGGATACCCTCACACATATGCCCCTCCCCCCCCGGTCTGTGGGATGGTATCACCCAGGAAATGCATGCTGGGTAGTTTGTGCAGGCTCTTTTGTGGGGCGGTGTCACTCGGTGAGGGGCATTATAGGAAGTGGTATTTATCCCTAAATAACCAACCTCCTCCCCTTGGAAGAGACCAGTGGGGCCCTTCCCACCCCACCCCAGCCCTGGACCAGACCACCAGACCCTTCTGGCCCAGAATTCCCTGCACCCACCCTTGGGCCAGACCAATGGGCCGTTCCAGCCTGGAATTCTCCCTCCCCCACCTAGCACCAATGAGCCCTTCAGGCCCAGAATTCCCTCCCCACCAGCC